CTATTCATAGACGCCTGTCACGAAATCCGTGCTTAGCTTTGCTTGTTGTCAACTGGTTTTACCATGGCAGCGTTTTGCTCGTTCCATACCACTCTTGGGAGAACTTTGACCAGCAACCCATGTCAAAGCGCCAGCGTAGTTCTGATGACGTTGAAGAGCGTCGTGATGACGTGAAGGTGTCACAAAAGAGAGGCTAATCTCCCTGATGTCGTTATGATTGCCCTGCTGCTTTGCGAGGGAGGATGTTTGCAGCGCAAGTGTTTGCAGTTTGAAGGGTTCTTGAAACTTTGTTCATCCTTGGGATTGGGTCCAACCAATGCCTCAGGTGGTCCTGGCACAAGATATTCCAGTGTGCCCGGGCTGTTGTGCTTGTGCTCGGAGGTGCTCACTCCATTTGACCCATCTCACCTTGCAGCCTTGGATCACCAAACCTTTGAGAACCTCGTTGTACAGGAATGAGCCAGCTGCAGAACATCTATAACTTGCAAATTCCTAAGGCTGCTAATGGCTGCTCAAACCAAAACGTTTGCAGGAATGCAAGACTTGTGAACTACATAACATATATACTCATATGTTTATACAAAAATATATTACATATATTTATGTATCTGTATATGTTATATAATGTACCCAGAAGTCAAAAAGATCCCAAGAGCGCAAAAAGCTGCATGCAGGCTTTTTCCAATGCGCTTTGGTTGATGCTGGGGTCCTCCCCCAGACCCTGTATCACTTGGTCAGTTTCAAACTGCCCTGGGCTCCGCCAGGGGGACAAGGGTGTGTCAGGCAGTAGGATTCGCCAAGGCCCGCAGGGGGATGTATTGCTCGATGATGCGAGTGACCACCGGCGTGGAGAGTGGGTAGCCCGTGAACTGGTCGAAGAGCTGGACCATCTCCTTCTCCGTGCACGAGGTGAGGAGCCCCGCCAGGTGGCCCGGAATGGCCGGATCCGGCACCGGGATGAACCGGATTGGCATAGGGACCGAGGCCACTGTCGCTCCGGAGGCCCACGTGAAGCCCGGCAAGGTAGGTGTCTTGGATGTTGGTTCCTCCATGGGCTGTGGAGCTGGCCTCTTGCTCGGCCGTGGAGGCTCTGGGGCTTGGTCCTTCGCCGTAGGTGAAGAAGGCGCCGGAGCCGCCGCCATGGCATCTAAAGGGTCTACCGAATACCCTGCCGGTGCAGGGGGCGTGAAACCTAGGCCCGCTCGCTCACTGTTGTCGTCCTCCATCTGCTGAGGCGGAGCAGCTGGTCGTGGCTCCACCAAAACAGGCCAGGCCAACGGTGGTTCCGCCATGGTTGTCAGGAGCGCAGGCTGGGCCTCCGCTGCAGAAGGTGTAGTAGAGTTCCGCAGTCGCAACCCTCCCCGCAGGAGGGTTGCCAGCGCCGCCATCAGCAGGGGCGCCCCAGGAGGTCCACGCCCATGTCCGCGTCTTCTTGGTTGGCTATCTGGACCTTGAGTTCCTGCAGGTGGCGCTCCAGTTGGCGAATCTGCTCTTGAGCGTCCAGCTCGGAGACCAAGATGGGCTGCCCAAAAACGGCAAGGCCCCGAGCCCCTTCCGCCTCCGCATGACGGAGGGCTGTAGACGCAGCATCTGCTGCCTGGTCCAAACTCTCAATGCCCGGGCTACTGACCGTAGCCGAATCCCCATCGTCTGGTTGGGCGTCTCGGAAAGATTCGATCATCACATACTCCGCTTCCATCGGGTGCGCCATTGCGTCGTGTTCACCAAAAAACCGATGTACTGGGGAGTTTCTTCAAAAGTTCAGGTGCAATCCTGTGGATGATTGCCACCAACTTGAGCCAAAATGTCCCGGTGGGACATTTTGTGAACTTCAGTGAACATAAAACTTGCATCCGCAAGCTACATGCAAGTGTGAATTAATATACACACCACATCTTACAACTTGTTCCATTGCAGCTTCTTAAGGTCGTTGAAGCCTGTTCCAACCAAAATTGTTCAGAAACAGTGCATGTGCATTGTCCGACGTAATGCACAGTGCATGCAAGTCAGCACAGTGGCGTTGTCAAAACAATCTATCTGGACCTGACCATTGCCTTCGTGGCTCCCGTGCTTGCTATCCCATTGCACAACTACTCAAATCATCAGAGGGTAGGAGCATATTTGCTTCCCGAATTCCCCACATCTTTGTTGAAGTTCCAGTGTTCTGGATGCCCATCTATTCGGATGCCATCGGCAAATTGGACCGAAACAGTGCATCAAAGAACTCCAACACCAAAACTACAACACCTGACAAATCTAAAAGCCATTATGCCACTATATCAAACTTAAGAACCTAATCAGTCTCCATACTCTGTATGAGCAGTAAACAAGCCACGATGATGCTACTTGTATATTGTATCAGTATCGTTTTTCTTGTCTCCGGACCCCATGCCAATAACTAAACGCTATCGTGTCGGCATCCACTCCTCCTTGTCCTATCCACTCTACTTTGGTAGGGGCAAGCCTGGCCTGACCGCAAGCCAGGTCCAGAAAGGACATGGAACGCTTGGGGCCTCGGTCTCGGAGGGATCCGAGTGTTCCCTTCGTGGTGGTCCCTTCGACAGGGCGAAAAGGTGTTCCAACCTCCACACTTTTGTTCAACAAACGTCAAGTGTGCCACAATGTGCCGCGCCCTGCGCTAGAAAGGCAATAGATTTTTGGATCCTGGGAAAGCTGCAGGCTCGCAGCTCTAGGGATTGTATTGAATTGCGTCTCGTGGGCTTCAATGCAACACACGCGAAAAGGAAATGCACAGTTTGCAGACGTGCTCAAGCAAAAAGAACACTGCTCCAAACGAGACGTACCTACAAACCCGACAGGATGTCGCATTGGCATTACTTCTTTTTGTGGACCTCTGGGGTCGGCTAAGTCAATATATCCTCAGCGGAGGCCCATGTACAAACGTATGGTGACCAAGCTAATAACATATTCTTCATGTTCTAGTGTCGGATCAAAGTTGCCCACCTGTACACGCCCTGGTGAAAAGGAAGACCCATGGCCACAGCTGCTGCTTTACAGCACCGATCCCATCTTTCCAGCGGTTGGCGTATGTTTGTGTTGGCTTGCAGATTTACGACATTGAACGTGGACCCCAATAGTAAGGCTGGTTTCCTGCCAAGGACACTGTTGCGACCCCTCTTCAAGTCATGTTCAACATGACACGAGGCCACGTGCATACTTTGGTTCTGACTGCATCAGGCTATCTCTTTCCTACGAACTGAGCTGTGAGCCAGGAGCCGGTTCGCCCCATGTTCATTGCAGGGTTGACAGGTCAAAGCCCATGACTCCAACCTATAGTGAAGCCGCACCGTTTGGTTGCTGGAAGGCCCAGTCCAGTAACTTGCGACAATGTGTCTGTGTGAACGATACTGATGTATACTCTAATGTATATATGACAGAACAGAACCTGATAACAAATATATAATTGTAAGAGTATAGAGTATAGATCCAAATAATTCTATCTATATGTTCCAATTCCGTCTATATTGCATGAACTATCCATGAACCAGCTACCTTGATTAGCCCGTATTGGCAGCCGTTCTCAGCGTGATTACCCGACACACACACACACAATAGCAAGAGCTATGGGCTATGGACAGTGCGTCTAGCTATATAGGTGCCTGCTTTTTGTCTTCTGTAGTTTCCACGCTTCTCATTGATCTCATCTCATCAAATGCCACTTTGACTTTCTGGAAGGCTGCCAGAATCTCCTGGAGAAAATTTGGCGGCAACATAATACGAGTAGGGTATCACATTAGCTTCCTTCAAGTGTCTAAGAGCTTGAAATACACACAACATCACACAACAAACCAAACAAGGTCCGCTCTAGAAAGAGCGCTGGACTGTGCTCCAAAGCAGGAGGCCACCACATAACTTGTCGGGGTGGCCGCAAAGAAAGCCTGAATAAGAAGAACATTGCCTACTGCGACTTCTGAACATACAATATCTTGATGCAATCCAACCAGCATGACCATGCATTGAACCATCAGGCAGGTCAAATCTAGCTACGATCCAGTCCCATAATTCTTTCCACAACCGACTCAAACCGCGTCTCATTCCCAGTTCCCCAGGTCCGGGTCATCGTATCCACTCAGCAGCTTGGTGAGGCAACCGAAGCGGCGGCGGAGCTGGCGCATGGAGACGTCGCAAGGAACACCCATCCTTCAACTCCAATGAAATGCGTTGTGCAGCCGAACCACGCAAGTGCAAGACCAGACTGTATGTGATCAAGGTAGTGCAACACCTATCCTCGACCACGCCTGAATGTCAAAGCCGACATGGCTTTTCAATGGCGAACATGTCGATAGACTTGATGCAACTCACCGCAACAAGAAGCCACTAGGTGAAGGCCATCGCTATTAGGTTGGAGGCCATCGCCCATCGCTATAGGTGGTGGAGTCCAACTACGATAGGATCGATCGGCATCTCGGACGATGCAACTCCCCAGCTCAATCGCATCGCCACGCCACGCGTCGTGTGGCTCCGCTTCTGCCAGAATGTGTTGGGCGGCTTCGAATGCTTTTGCCTCCAGGACGGTGCACTTTCGTGTGATTTCTGGACGAACCCGGCCAATTGTTTGTAAAATATCGCCCCTTCATGGAGTTTTGTGAGGGACTTCGGGGGAAGAGTTTCTTGGATGAGAAGCCATATCCGTGCCGCCAACAACTGGTACAGCACTTGCAGTTCCGCAGAAAGAGCATTACAGTACAGCAACCCACGATGTGAGAAGCCACTCCAGAATTGTTCATTGTTCGTGGAAGGTTTGAATATATTTAAATCAATAACATGGAATGCCTCAGAAAGAAGCGGGATGGGGATGTCTTGACAGCAACCCATTCAACAGCTTCTTGAAAGCTTAGCTTTTGCCTCATGAATCGTAAAGCAGCAGTAGTTTTGCCTGGGGACAGCTTGGTGCAGAGTTCACACGACGTCAACTTCTCCACTGGCTGACGAAGCTCATACATGGTCTGTAAGAGCAGGCCAACTATCACTCACGTCGCTCACCCTGCTGTACCAACTTCCAGGGATAGCGGAGTGGTGGTGACATTTGAGAACCATTCAGATGATAACCGATGAAGTCGCCAAAGGAAAATCAGCGTCAAGACCCAGCTTGGCAACACAGAGGCTACATACAAGGCTGTGGCGCTGACAAAAAAGAATCGAGCGACCAAAAGCACCGGCAGAAAGGTCAAGAACAGGACCCACAGTGACCTTAGTTCCAAACACTGCCTGCTTTGGTCAAGAAACACGCGAACACATTATCGAGTGCAAAGAGCTTCTTTCCAAATCACTGGAAATATGTAGCAACAAATGCAACCCCACTACAAACGGCTGGGTTCCCACTGAAAATACCTCTAAAGCATGTTGACCAATCATGAGAAATCTTGGCCTTGCATTCTTACCCAGTGACACTTTGGCCATGAACTTGAAGTCTTGGCAGGCATAGAGCCCTGCCTTTGCCACGTTGAAAATGCAGGTGAACATCGCTGTGATGCCAAAAACATCGAAGGTTGTGAAAATAGTCGTATCCTTCGATGAGATCTGAGATTGAGATCAAAACAGGCAGGTTGCTCAGTTGTGGGCACTACACTACATGCATTGGCTACATACATCTGCATCTTCAAAATCATACCGACTCTGGAGGAAAACTTGGCGGAGAAGGTCATACTAAAGATGTGCGAGAGAAGCATTATTGAGAAAGGTGGAGCAGTTCTTCGGCAGGACCAAATCAATGAATGGGATTTGTCAAAACATTACTGTAAAGCCTGGATACCGACTACTACCTTCAGATTGGCGGATCTTGATTTTATGCTGCACTCAAATTTTGGCAGGTCCGGCAGGTGTCAAGAAAAGAAAAACCCAAGCATCTTGTTGGGAATGCGTGCTGCAGGGCTTTTTGTTATATGAATGATGGTCAGCCACCTTCCCCTTTACAAGCAAACATGGCCGGGGGGACCGACACAATCCATCTTCATATGCATGCCCATACTACAAACATCAACAGTGCCACCACAACGGTCCGGAAAATGAGACTAAAAAATGCAAAGCGTCATACTTCCCCAAGCCTTCAGCATAGAGCCCGGCATAAATATTAAGGCAGTCCTGGGAGCTGGCAAACTCACAGGCTTGCACTGAGTAGTATGCAGCTAGGCTTGTCTTGTTCGGATAGATGCCCATCGCTGAGATAATGCCCAACATGATGCTCAGAATGATCATCACCTAGATGAACCGATTCGATCGAAACCGCATGACTGTACATGCCATTTTTAAACGGGGGGTAGGCCGTAGAGGCAGGTAGTAGCTAGAGCTAGGTAGCTAGTAGTAGAAGAGCTATATTATAGCTAATTAGGACGCAGGATAGCTCACGCTTCCTCAGGAAGCTCCCCCCGCCACCCTAAAGGCGGCAGGGGAAGCTTCCTTGAAGAAGCGCTCGCACTAATGATTTGGTTCCTAGATTTTTAGGGAAACTTGCAGATGGCCGCAGATCGGATCACTTTTCTGACCTCAAGCCCGTCAAGCTGGGCCTGCATGAGCCGGGCAAACTCGGCAAATGCTCGCCGTCCGACCAGCGCACCCCCCACCAAGCGGACCACATAGCCGACAGCCACGGCATAGGCTGAGTATTGAGGCAATGCGGCAGCAGCAGAGCTCAGCTGATACATATCTTGCAAACTCACAAAAGCGGCCACATAGACCTGCAAGTTTCAGGGTGTGTGTGAACCTAAGACCTAACTGGCCGAAAAGCCTTGGGGTGCAAAGATGTGCAAAGCAAGGACCCGACTACAGCAATCAGACTTTGAGAGTTGTAAGGTGCGACTCTGTATACTACCATAGAGACGGCATGGACTGATACAAAAAAGATCAAAAACACAAAAAACTGTTCTGAACTGTATGAGAGCAAACTGAAGTGGTCCCGGCAAATTGAAGAGCTAAGTCCAGTATCATTGCAAGGAAGCCGTCAACCAGCACATCCTGCTCTTGAGTCGTCAACCCAAACGTTTGGGTGAAGAGTCGAACTGCAGCAATGCTTCAAAAACAAGATTGATGCTATGTACTCTTGTAACACTCTTGTATGCTTTTGTTTTTCCTTTTGCCCACTGGCACCTGGTGCCCCAGCACACCTACGACAAAAGAGGTTTTATGTATAGATAAGTGTCCTTCTGAGTCGTTGCCTGTGGTCTGAGCGCCTCTGCCATGCTACCCTCCACCACAGTGGGGCGAAGAAGCAAGCCCATCTTCTGACGCAAAGGCCGATGAAGGATGAGGCTAACAGCGAGAGACGCGCACAAGACCAGGTTGGACCTCTCCCATGTGGACCAAAAGCATGGGAAAAGGGTCTGTGACTAACCTTGTTATGGATGTGAGTGGAGGACAGAAGTTCGGGGATGCAAAGAGCCCCGGTGTTTAACTCCAACCATCTTTTGACAGCCTTTCTGATTCACATCCAAGTAAACGTGAAAGTGGCCCAGCCAAGAAGATGCAAGTCCTGCACTCCTCCCCGAAACCAAATGGCCGCCAAAGCTCCTTGTGACAACACGGAGCAAACGCCGTAGATCGCGAATTCCCTTGCACCCATGAGAATGCCGGAGAGGACCATGCTGCAAAACTGCAGAGGCCTGGATTTGGAGCCCTCCCAAAACAAGGCCTGCATAAGTGCTTAAGTAAGTCATGTCGGCATGTCTTGTGTGGGCTCTATACTACATACACACACTCCCGATTCCCAACATTTCCCAAAGTGAAACCCACAAAATTGAACTTAGCAAGTCCAAGGTGTCCAGGACCAACTGGTCAGCAACCAAAGGCCTCGTGCGGTTTGGACCACCTCCTCTGCATGTGGTAGCAGCTGGCAGCCAGGGTTCTGCCCAATGGCCTGTGCACTTCCTGGAGTCAAAAGAACTTCGATGACCTGTCGCAACAAGGCGCCGGACGAGCATCGTTAACCACCAAACTGACATGTGCATGTGGATGTTTGCGGATAGAAGGCTCAATTGGGCCCAATCCATAGATCTGCAACAAAAGTAAGAGAGCATCTATGAATCTATGGCCATTCATCGGCCATGAATTCATGAAATATAATAACCCTGGCCGCACTAGCATCTCCACGCGTTCCGCACGTGGACTTCCAGAATCCCGCACCTGAGGCCAAAACGCCAGCAGAGTCATCAACAGTGCACCCAAAGTCCCTGCCGCCAATCCACCAACGACGCCCAAGGAGGCAATGGGACGAATGGAGGAGAAGTCGCCGGCACCCAGGGCTAAGGTGATCTTCACAGTGGTGGTGTCCTGGCAAAACTTACGGTGGATGTCATCAGAAGTCAAGAAGAAATTCAGCAACATCTGTTGTGTCCACGTTGATCGTTCAGTAGCGCTCTTGTGGCCACAGGAGACTGAGGGCTTCAGAAAATGGTCTTTGGCGGCATCAACTCTGCATTAATTACCCTTGGGTGATTGCAACTGCTTGATAGCAATCAGCACCAAAACAAAAATCATTGAACAACTCTATTGTGCGCTCAGCGTCTTCCAGGAACTGGAATATATCCTTCACCGGGGTCAAGAAAGCCATGGCTGCCAGCATAGAATTCCTCTCAGGCACGGGCAACGCAAGCTGCGTGCTGGAGGCCATGGCGATAGATACAAAGACGGTCACCTGCAAAGCACCAAGGCTAAAAAAGGCCAAATTTGGAAAACAACGGTTGGAGGCCATTGCTATTAGGTTGGACACCATCGCACTGGTCCTAACTTCCCTAACCAATCCAAAGGATGGCCGCTTTTTGCGTCCAAACACGTTTAAACCGTTCGTAAATGGAGGTCTGAGTTGCGCAAATGCCCACATAGATGCCAAGAAGGTTCAATCCATCATGGATCCCACTTGGTGGCCGCGGATCTGCATCCCCCTCGTATTGCTGCCGCACCCGGGTCATCCACCGATTGAGCCAGATAGTGAAACCTATGTAAACCACTGCGCCGGCAATGTTCACCTCACTCCGCTGGTGTCACGCATGTTGCTCACTTCATCTCACTTCAATTCAAAAGAACTACCAGCCTCGGACAAAAAGCTCACCCAGCTAGCCAAGTCACAATGTTTGTTGAGCTAGTCTGGCCGCCCTCTATCCAGTTTTGGGCCGCGCAACAAGGTGCAGACAAACAGTCCACTGGGTAGTAGCATAATCCCGACGCTTCGTCGCGAAGTGGGGCCACGAGTGACTTGGTGCCATTCGCAAAAGTCTCGTAGTACAGGTATAGCGGCGGCTGGTCGTGCTGTGCTGCAAAAGACCGGCACTGCAACATCAGCACAGTCAGTCGCCGCTGACCAAATTCAAGTCAGTCGGTCAGGACAAGGAAGTATTGAAAAGTACAAGCACATAAGACATATCTAATAATCAATCGATCCGATTCGATATCGATCGCTAATTATCCACCTAGCTACCTATCTGAATCTACATACGGCTGGTTTTGAGGATGGCAACCGAAAGAAACATCCATGCAAATGTAGGCATCAGGTAGTTTCAGAGCATGTTTCACATTTAAGAACGACCCGCTTGCTGGTTTCCTTGTGTTCTTACAGATCTTACGTCAAAGCAAAAAAGCGGCCTGGACAATTAGCAATTGTGTGTGGTATTGAGACACTGCAGGCATGCCTCTGTTCATGACACATGAAACAAGTGGCTTCTGCTAGTGCACGATGAGGCTGATCGACAGCGGAACTCAAGACAGGTCATTGTAACCGGCCCCAATTTGGTTCAACATGTTGATCAAATCATGCTTGGTCTCCGCCGGAAGTGCGCAACACACATCCTGAACCAAAGAACTCCGCTTCCCACCTCTGGTGTCGCCACTAAAGGCAATGGAGGCTCTGTGGAGTAGGGCCGCCAAGCAAAAAGATAGGTATCCTGTTCGGGTGCCAAATTGTGCAGCATGTGCAGCGCCCCCTTCAGGTCCAAAAGGACGGTAGGGATGTAGGGGAGCTCAGCCGGAAACTCCAGTAGGATGCAGCTATCTGGATGAACTACAATAAAAATAACAATAGTTCAGTTGGTGGACAATGAAAGTCAGTGACCCCGTGGGAATGAAATCAATTGGACCTCGGATCAACGAGCACCATCGAGCACCCCACCCAGCACACGCGCTCCAATGGACGTGGCTGGCTCGGGTCACCGGCAGCGTGCGCACCTGCACCACGTGCAAACATTCTGTTGAACAGATCTTGTAACACATTCTTGGTTCAGTGCTTGGTTTTGTCCCATGTTCGTGTTGCAAGCGGTTGTAGTCCAACCACTGATTGGATTTGGTCGGCATAGCCGCATAGCTGGCACGGGGAAAACCAGCAACTAACAAAACTATTGGTCTTGCGCATAGGTTTCCCATTTTTTGATCACCGTCAAAACCTTATGGGTCACATCAGGGCCCCAACCTTTCTCACTACAAAATGGAGGCACTTGTTCCTAGTAGCTTCTTGTTCCTAGTAGTAAGGCACTTGTT